CTCAGGGCCGTCTTGGAGGCCATCTTGGGCGTCTTGGAGGCCTCTTGGGCCGTCTTGGGGCCCTCTTGGGGCCTTCTTGGGGGCCTCTTGGGCCGTCATGGGACTATCTTGGAGGGCTCTTGGGCGCTCTTGGGGCGATGTTGGGGGCCTCTTGGGCCGTCTTCGGCCGTCGGAGAGCTGAAAAGAAGAACGTGCCAAAATCCTTCAAAAAACCTAAGGAAAATCGATGATTTTAGCCTCTTCGGGCCTCCCTGGAGGGCGTCTTGGAGGGCTCTTGGGCCCTCTTGGAGGCTTCTTTGGAGCCTTTGGGGCCGTCTTAGACCATCTTGAGGCTATGCTCGGCCGTCTTGGAGGCCATCTTGGCCTCTTGGAGGCCATCTTGGCCGTCGTGGAGGCACTTGTGGGGTGTCTGGAAGGTCCGAGGGATGCTTTGGAGGACTCTTTCCAGGTCTCCGCCGGTGCCCCGGGAGGGCCTGGAATTATCTGATGCCCATCTCTGTCGGTTTTTCCGTGTCATGTAATAAGGATAAGGAATATATATATTTATATATATATATATATATATTATATATATATATATAGATATATATGCACAGGCCCGCGGTCCCCAAACATGTGTCCCCATCTGGGGGACTGGGAAGTTCCGGGGGTTTTGCCGAGGCGCCGGGGGCCCCCTCAGATCGCCCGAAGACGGCCCCAGGATCGCCAAACATGGCGCTTCCAGATTGCGGGAACGACCAATGACGGCCACGACGGCCAAGGCGGCCAGAATTAGCCCCTGACTATCCAAGAGGCCTCCAAGACGCCCCCAGAAACCTCCTAGATAAGATGCCTCCAAAGGAGTCCCGCGAGGCACAACTTGTTAATGATTTTCCAAAGGTTTTGGAAGGAGTTCCAAGTTCTCGCCTTTTCAGTGTTCTGACGCTCCACGACGACCCAAGATGTCATATTGTCCGCTCCAAAACAGCCCCAGGGGCTTCGAAAACGGCCCCAAGACGGCCCAAGGGGGCCCCAAGACGGCGCCAGAGGCGCACAGGACGGCCCGAAAGGGCCCTATGGAGCTCCTCCGAAGGTCCCAGTGGCGCAGCCCGCATGCGTCCGCCGCACCCGGTACAGCGCTTTGTGGCCCTATGGGGAGCTCCACCGAAGGCCCCAGTGGCGCACCCCGCATGCGTCTCCCACACCAAGTACACCGATCGTGGCCACATAGGGAGCTCCACCGAAGGTTCCACTGGCGCACCCCGCATGAGTCCCTCCCACCCAATACAGCCTTTCGTGGCCCCATAGGGAGCTCCACCGAAGGTCTCAATTGCGCAGCCCGCGTGCGTCTCGGCCTTATGGGGAGCTCCGACGAAGGTCCAGTGGCGCAGCCCGCATGCGTCTCCCCCACCAGTGCAGCGCTTCGTGGCCCCATAGGGAGCTCCACCGAAGGTTCCAGTGGCGCATGCGTCCCCCCCACCCAGTACATTGTTTCGTGGCCCTACAAGGAGAGAGCTCCAGGACGGCCCACGAAGGGCCCAAGACGGCCGCAAATGTGGGCCCGGGGCCCTCGGGGAGCCCCGCCAAGGAGGCTCCAAGAGGCTCCCGAACAGACCCGGGACGCCCGAAGGTTGCTCCCAGACACCCAACATGGCTTCCAAGGCGGCTTCAGAAGCCCCCAAGACACCCCAAGCGACCCCCAATAGGGCCCCAAAGAGAGCCCCAAGGGGCCAAAATAGCCCCACTCCTTTTGTAAAACGTATATGTTTAACATATTGCTTGTTTTCGCTGTCGGTCCGGCCCAGGACGCGCCCCAGAGGGACCCAATACAGCCCCACAGAGCTCCAGGACGGCCCACGAAAGGCCCAAGACGGCCGCAAATGTGGGCCCCGGGGCCCTCGGGGAACCCCGGGGCCTCACAGAAGACCGCCAGAAGGCGCCAAGGAGGCCCCCATAGGATATATGTGGATGAATACCAGGTCCCCAGCCCGGGGGCCCCGCCCACCTCAAAACCCTTGGGCCCCCCTTTTTCAATACCCCCGCCCTGGCGCCTCCAAGGGGCCTCCAGACGCCCCAGGAGGCCTCCAGAAGGCCTCCAAGACGGCCTCAGGAAGCACCCAAGATGTCCATGAGGGCGCCACAAGATCGGTCCAATACAGTCAAGATAGTCCCTACACGGCCCAAGAGGCTTCCAAGACACCCCAAAAGGCCTCCAAGAGGCTTTTTCAAGAGGGCCACAAGAGGCTAACAATTGTTGTTTTTCAAGGGTTTGGTGGGAGGATGTTTTGTGGTTCTCACCTTTGCGGCTTCCTGGCGCTCCAAGATAGCCAAAGAGATTCCCGAGATCGCCCAAAGACGGCCCAAGAGGCTCCCAAGACGGCCCCAAAACAGCCCAAGAGGGACCCAAGCAGCCCAAGAGGCCTCCAAGACGGTCCAAGATAGCCCCAAGACGGCTCTAAGAAGGGACCCAGACAGGGAATCCGAACGGACTTTTCAAGCCTTCGGCCCCAGAAAGCTCCCAGGAGATTCCAAGAAGCGCCCCGGAGGCCCCCAAGACGCCGCCAGAAGCCCCCGAAGGGCTCCCAAGATGCATGTCACGGGTGCGCGACAAACAGATGCCATGGGCCATGCTGGTGGTCTCTCCCCCTGTGCTGGTCTCGCGGGAGACGCTGCAGGATCCCATGGTCCCTTGGTTCATCGTCAGGCTTCGAGCCTCCATTAGGATACGCTTCTTCGCCGTCTTCGGCCCCGGGTGGGCGCCGTGCCTTGTGGAGGCTATTTTCCACCATCGCGGGCCCCGGCGATGAGGAGGAGGAGGAGGAGGAGGAGGAAGAGGAGGAGGAAGAGGAGGGCGACGACGACGAGGAGAAGATGGAGTGGTTTTCGGAAGCCTGTTGAGGGTTCGGAAGTCATCGTGGCTTACCACCAGCTCCCAGAGATCGGTCTTGCCTTGCTCTACCCCGATGCCATTGCATTCCCCGTGGGATCTGCTTCTCCCCTGACCGTGGTAGTACAAATACTAGGTGGGAAATTCACAGGTTCATGACGCGTCCTTCAGGATGCACGCGATCCCTGCTTCTGACTCGCTTCCTCCTGCTCCCTTCTTCTCCTGCTGCTCCTTCCTCCCACCCTCCCTCCCTCCCGGGGCTGCGTTCCCCCCGCCCCGGCCCGACCGGGGCCGCATTCGCATCTTCTTGGAGTAGTTTTTTGCCCCGGTTCCTGTTTCTCGACGGCCCCTGGTTCCGAAACCGGCTCCCCCAAAATGAAAGGCAGGAGAGGCCCCGAGGGAACGCCGTCGGCGTCGCGTCGGGCCCGCCGCGCCGCCCTCGAGGGCGGGCGCCTCCCGTCCGGAGGCCGTTGAGGCCCGGGGCAGAGTGCAGGACCCAGTCCCTCTCGCTCGGGGAAGGAGAAGCGACACCACCACCACCACCACCACCACCACCACCACCACCACCACCACCACCACCACCACCACCACCACCACCACCACCACCACCACCACCACTACCACCAGGGGAGCCACCTTCATCGAGAAGGTCCGCGATGCCCCTTCGAGCTGGAGGTTGGGGATGTCTCGAGCGGGGAGGTGTGGCCACACGACCAGGGGGCATCCCCTGGCTCCTCGCCCTGGTGGTGGTGGTGGTGTCGCTTTTCTTTGCTCCCACCTCGCGTCGGGACGAAAAAACACGACGGGAAGCTTTTGCACAAGTTCCAGCCTCCAGGGGGCCCTTGCGGGGCCCCTGGACCGTAAGACACGAGGCGGGATGAACAGGCGGCCCCGGGAAGTCGTCCGGATATGCTGGGCCCACGTTGTGAACACATCCCGGCGTCGAGTGTTTTGCGAGGTGAAGGAGGGGGATGAGGAGAAGGAGGAGGACGAGGAGGAGGAGGAGGAGGAGGAGGAGGAGGAGGAGGAGGAGGAGGAGGTGGGTAGGGGGAGGAGGAGGGAGTTTTGGGGGGGGAGTGGGGTGAGATGAGTAGGAGAAGGAGGATGAGGAAGATGATGAGGAGGAGGAGGACAAGGAAGAGGAGGGGAGGAGGAGGAGGGAGGAGGAGGAGGAGGAGGTTGGAGGAGGAGGAGGAGGAGGAGGAGGAGGTAGAGGAGGGGAAAGGAGGAGGAGGGGGAGGGGGGGGGGAATAATTGGAGGAGGGAGGAGGAGGAGGAACAGGAGGACGAGGAGGACGAGGAGGAGGAGGCGGAGGAGGAGAAGGAGGAGGACGACGACGAGTCGGAGGATGCGGAAGGGGAGAGGGGGGGGGGAGGAAAGAGGGGGAGGAGGAGGGGGGGAGGGGGAGGAGGGGAAGGAAAAGGACGGGGGGAGGAGGGGAAGGAGAAGGAGGGGGAGGAGAAGGAGGAGGAGGGGGAGGAGGAGGAGGAGGAGGGGGAGGAGGACAAGGAAGAGGAGGAGGAGGAGGTGGAGGAGGAGGAGGAGGAGGGGGAGGGGGGAGGGAAGGAGGGGGAGGGGGAGGAGGGGGCGGAGAGGCAGGAGGAGGCAGAGGGGGAGGAGGAGGACGGGGAGGAGGTCGGTTTTCTGGGCTAACGCCACATACTTGGACCTGTGCCTGGTCATACCGTGTTCGGAGCTGTTCCGTGGCCACGGCTAGAACCTAAGCGCGCGCGAAGCGCGCGCGTGGTTCTAGTATGTATGTATGCATGCATGCATGCATGCATGCACGTATGTGTGCGAGTACACGTGAATCTAGACCTATGCATATTCATATATACATATAAATGTACACGCACATACATACATACAAACAAACATACATACATGTGTATATGTATGTATGCATGCATGTATATATATATATATATATATATATATATAGACACGCCGCCCCAACACGTCCGTAGCCTGTTTGGGCTTAAAGATCCAAGCATTTCTTCGGGGTCACGGCCACGGGCTGTCTCGTGGCCGCGAGGCCTGCTCCGAGGGCCGCCATCCGCCCTCCTCGCGCTCCTGGCGGCAGCACTGGGAGGCGAGGGTCGCTGGCCTGACTTGTGGCAGGCGCGGGGCTGGATGGCCCAGGCGGCTGTCGAGGACCTCGACGGTGGAGACGAGGACCTCTGGGAGGCGCCGGAGGCCGTCGTGCCCGCGCCCGTGGAGGACGGACCCGTGCCGATCGTCCCACTGGCGGTGGCCCAGGGCAGATGCTACTGCAGCACGGGCTACACTGCGGGCGGCCTCGAGCAGTGCCGGTTCGCGTGGCGGGCGCTGCGTGTCTCCAGCGCAGAGCCGCCGTTGCGCTTCGTGAAGGCCGAGTTCCTCTTCAGCGACGACGGCTACTGGGACTGGTGGGCCAGCCACCCTGGCCAGCCGAGCGCGATGACGGTGCGCCCGCTCATCCACGTGTGATCGGAGAACCCGTGCTCAGTCTTGGAGGGGCCGGGGACGTGCACCGAGCTGATCCACGTGTCGGACGGGGCGGAGCTCGGCCTCGGGGACCTGCGGGCGCTGTTCGTCGAGTGCCAGGAGACGAACCCCGAGGCGGCTTGGCCAGCAGCAAGCCTCGGGCCGCTGGTCGCCGCCGCCGCCCCCGCGAGGCCCGCTGCGGTGGCCAAAGCGGCGGGGCGCCCACCAGCCGCAGCAGGTCCTCCCAGGGCCCCGCCTGGCGCTGCCCCCTTCGACGACTTCCTGAGCGTGAGGGGCTCGTCGCGCGGGCCTGGCTCAGAGCTGGCCGCAGGCGAGGAGGCGGCTGCCGCGGGCGGCCTGGGAGGCAAGCTCGAGGGTGCTCGTGTGCGCTTCGAGGAGGGGAAGCGGGCTGCTGGCGATGTCAACCTGGACGGCTTCCCCCTCGGCGCAGAGGCGGCTGGCGAGGGGCCTGTGAAGAAGCGGTCGCTCGGAGACCTGCTGGTCGAGCGCGCCGCGAAGCTCAAGAGGGCCGCCTCGGACGCGGCCCCCCGAGGGTCAGGAGACCCCGTGCCCGATCGGGCGCTGCCAGGAGCTGGTCCGAGTGGCGGCATGGCGGAGCTGGCGCAGGCGCTCGTGATGGCCATCCGCGAGGGCAAGGAGGGCCCCCCTGGCGACGGCGGCGGGGGCGGCCTCGGCTCCTCGGACCCCGCGGCGGTGCCGCGCGACCTGGCCACGAAGAGGGCCTTCTGTCGTCGGATGGCCGCCGCCTCCCCAGGCCGCCTCACGGAGCTGAGCCTGCAGCAGATGGCGGACTTCCTGGGCTCGCAGGAGGGGGAGGCAGCCGTCGACGCGACGGGCCCGATCGCGCTGCGGTACCTCCTCACGATCTACCTGCCGCAGCATCCGGTGAAGGAGATCGGCGTGCAGACGTACCGCGAGCTCCGCACCCTCGCGGAGGCGGTGGACCTGCTGATGCAGGGGAAGGCGGCCCACGCCTGCGACCTGATCGTCCAGCGCCTGAAGGCGCTGCTGGTGGCAACGACGGATGGCTCGTGGGCGGCGGCGAAGTGGTTGGAGCTGATCCCGCCGCGCGACGAGCCCACGGCCATCCGCAGCGAGGAGGAGGAGCTCATCCGCAGCATCCAGCTCGGGGAGATGAAGCTGGACGAGCTCCCCGCACGGCTGGCCTCCGCCAAGACGCCGGGATAGGGCGGAGGCCCGACGGGGGCGCACCCGCCGCTGGCGCCTCCGTCTGTTGGCCAGGCAGGGGGGGTACCCCCTGCGACAGCGCAGGCGAGGGGACCTGAGGGGCAGGCCCCCAGCCAGCCGCGGGCTCGGCCGCCCCGCAGGAAGGCTCCCGCGGCGGCCCCACCAGCCCCCCTGGCGGCGGCCGCGGGCGGGCCTCCCCCGCAGGCCGAGGGGTCGGCAGCCCCACCGCCGTGGAAGATGTCCTTCGCGGAGATGCGGAAGAAGTTTCCGAAGCAGCCGGGGGAGACGAACACCCAGCACCGCCTGCGAGCCTTCAAAGCTCGTGCGGCGGCGCGCCCTCGTCGGACCTGAGCGGCGGCAGCCTGCCGCCTGCCCCGCGCTATGGTGGAGCCTCCTCAGGGGGGGTGGCCGATGCCTCCATCAAGGGCGCGAGCCCTGCGAAGGGCGCTGGTGGGGGAGTCCGCGGCGTGGGCCAAACTCGGTTTACCGAGGGCGGAGATCGCGCCGCCCTAGGCGGGGGGGGTGAGGGCGTCGCGGAGCCCCCGCTGGCCACCGCGCTGCAGTGCTGGTCCGACGAGCTCTCCTTCGGCTTCGGCAAGAGCATCGTCGCGGTCGACCTGGCGGCGCGGCTGGTGGCAGCAGTGCGACGCCACCCGGGCAGCCTTGGCCACTTCGCTCGGTCGTTCAGCATGCGTGCGGACACATTTTGTGGGAGCGGAGGGTCCTCGAACAGGAGGGTTCGGGACGCCCTGCCGCTTCCCCTTCCGTCGACCGAGGAGGTGGACCGCTGGCTGGCCCACAGTGCCTTGCCCAAGGCACGCAGGTGCCGCCGCCGCGCCGTGGCGCGGGAGGTCAGCGAGCAGGCGTGGCTGCACTTCAGTGTGGTGGCGCTCAACTACGCGTTCTGCGGCCGCGCGCAGGAAGGCTGGCGCCACAGGCCGACCCTGTCGAAGGCGCAGACGCAGGTCTACGTGCACCTGAAGAGTCGAGCGGCGGCCCTGGCGGAGGACCCGCTGGCCATGGTCGTGGCCCCCGCGATCGACGAGCTGGCGGGCGGCTGGGGGTCAGCGTACGAGGGCGAGACGGGCGTGAAGGCCCTCCCCTGCCGGCTCTGCGAGCTGGCCCCTGGGCTGCCCGCGCGGGAGTGCGCTGCCACGCTCGACGCGATCGACTTCGTTGACGACGAGGTTGGCGCCTGGCTGCGCCGCCCCGAGCTGGCGCTCCTCGACCAATCCGACTGGCCCGACCCGCTGCCGCGGGCCCGCGTGAACGTGGAGACGGATGCGGACTGGGAGGAGCTGGCGCTGCACCTCGTGTCGCTCGGCATCTTCACCACGCTCGCGGAGAGCGAGCTGGTCCGCGCGAGGGGCGAGCCCGTGCTGAACGGCCTGTTCGCGGTGGAGAAGAAGGGCGCTCCAGCGCCTGGCGCCACGCGGGTCACCAGGCTCACCCTCGACATGGTGCCAGGCAACTCGCTCCTGAAGGCCCACGTGGGCGAGGCGGCGCTGCTCGCGGCCTCGACGTCCTGGACGTCGGTCGTGATCCCCTTGGGGAAGCTGCTGCTGTGGTCGGGCGACGACCAGAAGGGGGCCTTCTTCGTGTGGCGGGTCCCGCCCGCGTGGCACCCCTACATGGCCGTGGGGCGGCCGCTCGCGGGCGAGCTGTTTGGTCGCTCGGAGCCCGTCGTCTACGTGACCTCGGCTGTCATCGCCATGGGCTGGTCGCTCGCGGTGCCCGTTTTCCAGCACATCCACCGACGACTGTGCCGCCTGGCGCCGCCCCTCGGGGTGGGGCCCCCCTCAGACGGGGAGTGGCGCAAGGATTGCGCGCGGCCCCTGGTCGAGGCAGGCAGCGGCCAGGACGCTGGCTGGTGGCAGGTTTACATCGACGACTTCGATGCGCCGGAGATCGTCGAGGAGGTTCTGGCCCGCAAGCTCGCGGGGGCCCCGAGCGACCTCCAACTGCAGGTCCGCGCCAGCTACGAGAAGGCAAGCGTCTCCTTCTCGGCCGAGAAGGCGCACTGCAGGCAGCTGAGGGTCGAGCGCATGGGCGCGGACGTCGACGGCGTCAGCGGGCGCCTCGCGGTCCCCGCTGCCAAGGCGCCGGCCACTGCGGGCCTCTGCTTGGCCGCGGTGCAGCGGCGCCTGGTCCCGTGGCGCGTTGCCATGGCGGCCCTCGGCAAGCTCGTGAGGGCCTTCGAGTTCAGGCGGCCGCTTTTCGGGATCCTGAACTCCGTCTGGAGGCTGGCTGCGTCCTCAGCGCAGGGGGCTTACCTGGACGCAGAGATGGTGGAAGAGCTCCTCATGGGCGTGATGGTCCTGCCGCTGGCCGCCTCCTCGCTGCGGGCGCGCATCGACGGCATGGTCACGTCCTCGGACGCGTCGGAGATGGGCGGCGGCGTGTGCACGTCAGCTGGCCTGCGCGAGGACGTCGCCGCCGCCTTGCAGGTGCCGAGGACGGTCCCCGACCAGCTGGGGATAGGGGCCAGGCTCCTCAACATGCCCGAGGACCCCGCCCGACCGTGGGCGGCAGCCAACCCACGCGTCCCCGCCAGGGCAGTCCGCAGGGTGCTGTCGGTGCTGCTCATCGGCCTGTTCGACGGCATCGGAGGCCTCGCCGTCGCCTTCTCGAGGCTGCCCGTCCGCATCGCGGCCTTCGTCGCGGCCGAGACGGACGCCAAGGCGAGGCGCGTTGTCAGACTCCGCTGGATAGGTGTCATCGACTGGGGCGACGTCGCCCGTGTGGGCAGCGAGACGGTGCGGGATTTGTTCGAGGCGTTCGGCGGCCTCGTCGACCTGGTGGTGGTCGCAGCGGGCAGCCCCTGCCAGGACCTGTCACGCCTCAACGTCGGCGGGCGCGGCCTCAGCGGCAGGAAGTCCTCGCTGTTCCACGAGGTGCCACGCATCCTGGCTCTCCTCGCCGCCGTCTTCAAGGACAGGCTCGTTTGGTTCGTGGAGAACGTGGCCAGCATGTCCGACGCCAACGTGGAGCTGATCTCGGAGGCGCTGCAGGTGAGGCCGACGCTGGTGTGCTCGTCGGTGTTCGTGCCGTGTCGCAGGCCGCGCCTGTTCTGGACGAGCTGGGGCGTCACCGCATCGGCGCCTCTTCGGCTGACCGACCGCGGGGTCTACGACGAGCTGGTGGGCCCTGGCGTCCCGCTCATGGACCTCGCGTGGGAAGACGAGGGCTGCTCTTGGCCAGGGAGACCAAGGTGTTTCCCCACGCTCGTCTGCTGCAGGCCTCAGCCCTCCTTCCCCTCTGCCCCGCGTGGCTTCGCGGCTGCATCGGAGACGGCTCGTCAAAGGTGGGCTGCGGACGGGCACAGGTATCATGTGGCTTTGTACGAGGACAAAAACATGATCTGCACCTCCTCGTTCCCTTTCCTGCGCCTCCCCACCAGCGAGGAGGGAGCGGCTCCTTGGCTTTGATGTGGGGTACACCTCCCTAGCCACCAAGGGCTCGAACCCCCAGGACGCCTCCGACGCCAGGGCCTTCCTCCTCGGCAACAGCTTCAGTATTCACGTCGTGGCATGGTTGTGCCAGCAGCTCCTGCACCGCCGCGGCGCGCTGAACGGGGAGCTGTCGATAGAGGAGGTGCCCCCCGTCCGCGTGTGCCGGGCGACGTGGGACCAGGCGGGGGCCTTCACGGAGCCAGGAGAGCCGGACACCGCGGAGGCGAGGCAGCTGGTCCTGCACTACCTCAGCCGCGCGGAGAAGGGCGGGTCGGACGTCAGGTTGGACTACGGCGTCCCCTACCGCCCGCGAGGTTGGCCGAGGACGAGCCTGGGCCCGTTCGTGTGGAAGTGGCGCGTGGTGGTCAGCATGGCGTGGCCTGGCCGGAGCTCCACCCACATAAACGTGAGAGAGTTGCAGGCGGCCGCGGCGGCGATCAGGTGGCGCGCCCGCAAGGTCGCGCAGCACGGGGGCAGGTTCTTGCACCTCGTCGACAGCCAGGTGGTCGCGGCCATCGTGACGAAGGGCCGCAGCAGCAGCAGGAAGCTACAGCCCATCCTGAGGCGCTGGATGGCCGTCGTCGTGGCGGCCGACATGTACCCACTGATCGGCTACGTGGTCTCAGAGGACAGCCCTGCGGACGAGCCGTCGAGGAGGCTGCTGTGGCGTGGCTCGAAGCCCAGGAGGCGAGGGCGACCCGTGCCGCGCGCGCGGCCGCTCACCGCAGGCCCGCTCCCGTGAGACGCCGCGGGACGCGCTGCCAGACTCTCTCTTCCCTGAGGGTGTCAGCGGAGACGCGGCGGCGCCACGGGCGGGCCCTGCGCGCGCTGCTGGCCCACTTTGGGGCCGAGCAGGCGGGGGCGGACGCCTTGCGCGGCGACCCCGAGGACGCAGACGCCCTCGTCGCGGAGTACCTCGAAGGCCTGTGGGCCTCTGGTGCGGGCATCGCGGCCGCCAACAACACGCTGGCGGGGGTGTGCTTCGCGGTGCCTCGTCTGAGGCGACACCTCGACCTGAGCTGGACTCTCCTCAAGGCATGGAGGCATCATGAGCCAGCGTCCAGGGTGCTGCCGCTCGCGACCGAGGCCGTCGCGGCCATGGCAGGGTTCGCGTGCGCTGCAGGTGCTTTCGACGTGGCCGCCCCTCTTCTCGTCGGCTTCGAGGGCATGCTCCGAGGCGCAGAGGTGTTTGCCCTGGCGGTGGGCGACATCGTCGACCGCGGCGAGCTGTTCATAGTCCGCACCAGCTCGTCCAAGACCACGGCGGGCAAGGACTGCGCGGAGGCGGTCGTCGTCCGCAGCAGGATGGCCGTGGCGCTCCTGCGGACTGCGGTCCGCGGCCTTGGTGCAGGCGCGCGGCTCTCATGGGGGACGCCGTCCCAGCTGCGTGATGCCCTCCGCGCCTTGGCGAGGGGCCTGGGCCTGACGGGGCCCATCACGTGGCACAGCCTGCGACGTGGCGGGGCGAGCGCCTTCTTCGTCAGGAGCGGCTCCATGGAGGCGACCCTCGTGGCGGGTCGGTGGGCCTCCTCCGCCACCGCACGCCTGTGCATCGAGGGCGCGGTGGCCGACTCAGTGCGCGCCCAGCCCGGGAGCGAGGCAGCCCTCGCCGTTGCGCGGGGACTGCGGCTCCTGCAGCTGGCCACTGTAAAAGGCCACTGCTCGCGCCCAACAGTGCTTGCCGAAAATCGGGCGTTTGTCTTCGCTTCGGCGAAGGCAACCGCCCTCCCGCCGTGGGGCCGCGTGGCCCTCTCTCTCTCTCTCTCTCTCTGGGTCTGGTTTCCGGGGTCCCCTGGGTCCGCCCGTTGTGTGGGGCGTTCTCTGTTTGGGGTCCACGCCCGTCTCGCCTTCTCCGTGCATCGTTTCACCTCCTCCCGTCGCCTCCCCCCGTCACCTCCTCCTCGTGTGGAGTGTAAGGGCTGGGGAAGGGCGTGGAGTAGGGGGGTGTGCTGGGGGGGCCAAACCAAGGGGCTGCGGAGGGATGTCTGGCACGCGTGGGGCCGCCCTGTGCGGTGCCTGCCCCACGTCAGGCCTGTGGCCTGGCGCGGGTTGCGTGTCCAGACCCCCCCTCGCAGTCTTGTGGCCTGCCCCCCCGCGCACCCCCGAATTAAGGACCGGCATAAATATGCCATTTGCAGGGGGTGGGTGGGAGTTAAACACGGACGGCCTACGTAGCCTTAAGGCCAGTAGGTGGGGGAGTTAGATAGCGTAGGCCCCCTCCCCAGATTGCTGTATGCGAACGGTGGAGGACCACCTCGCACGCCTTAGGTGGCAAGCGCGCGGTGCGGTAGGCGCCGCGTGCTTGCCGCCTAGGTAATGCGTGGCGTAGGGTTCCCTTGCATCCCGGCGCGTACAGTAGCTGGGGGGTTTGAGGGGGGCTGGCCTACTCTGACCATTGGCGTGTCCGCACGCAAAAAGGTGGGGCAGGGTATGTCTGTATACTGGTCCCCTGTATGCGTATACCCGTCTTCCCCCCTTTGGCCAGGACACGCCGCCCCAACACGTCCGTAGCCTGATTGGGCTCCCACCCGCGGTCCACCCCTTCCGTGTTGAGGCACGCTTTCTGCTGGTGCCGTAGCCCAGAAGATAGCGTAGGCCCCCTCCCCAGATTGCTGTATGCGAGCGGTGGAGGACCACCTCGCACGCCTTAGGTGGCAAGCGCGCGGTGCGGTAGGCGCCGCGTGCTTGCCGCCTAGGTAATGCGTGGCGTAGGGTACCCTTGCATCCCGGCGCGTACAGTAGCTGGGGGGTTTGAGGGGGGCTGGCCTACTCTGACCATTGGCGTGTCCGCGCGCAAAAAGGTGGGGCAGGGTATATATATCCTTGAGATTCTCATGGGTTTTATCTCGTCCCCCCTCCGTCCTCGAAACGATCTCCTCTAAACCGCCTCTCCGTAGCCGCCTCGGCTCAAGCTGCGGCAGGGTGTGCGCGGTGGAGGTGCTTCTATTAGCCCTGTCAGAGAAGCAAGCGGGGGTCCCCAGAATGACCCCCTCCGAGGAGCCCGCGCCCGAGTGAGCTCCCCCCTCGGCGGCTGGGGGAGCTCACCAGCCCGCGCCGCCGCGGCGGTGGCGATGTTCGGAGCCGCGGGGGCTGGCGCGGGCGCCCCGCCTGGCCCGCTTGGGTTGGGCCCTGGCGGGGGGCTCCTCGGCGTGGGCGGCGGCGGAGTGCTGGGCGGCTTTCTGGGACTGCCGCCTGGCGTCGGCGCCCTGCTCCCGCCGCCGCCAGCCGGAGTGGCCGCTGGAGCTGCCGCGGCCGCGGGCGGAGCCGCTGCAGGCCCCGCAGCACCAGGAGGCGGAGGCAAGGCAGCGGCGAAGCCCGGGATGGGCGGCAAGGGCGGCATGGGCGGCATGGGTGGCCCAATGGGCGGCATGGGCAAGCCGCCTGCCGCCCCGCCGCCCGCTGCAGGTCGCGGCAGAGGCGCTGGCGCTGGAGCAGGAGCGCCAGCAGCCCTGGGCGGCCCCGTGGTGCCGGGTCTGATCCCAGGGATCCCCGGGGTGGGAGCCCTCGTGGGGCCACCCGCTCACGCTGGGGGTGGAGGCGGCCACGCCGTGGCAGGGCAGGCCGCCCACGCGGTGCCAGCCGCCGCCGCGCCTGTGCCCGTGGGCTGGCAGGCAGGCATGCCCGCGGCGGGCGGGGCGCTGCCGCAGTTCGGAGCAGCGTTCGCCCAGCCAGCGGTGGCGGGGGTCGCGGCGGCGGCGCAGCAGGCTGGACCCTGGGTATACGTGCCCATGGCGCCCCAGGCCGTGACCCACGGCCTCCTGGGACTGAGCGCCGGCTGCCGCGTCGAGCTGGTGATGTACGATGCTGCCTGTCAGCCAAGCGGGACGACGACGATGACCGTGACAGGGCTGTATCCGCCTGACGCGGCAGGAGAGTTCGTGGAGTGCACAGTGGAGAGCAGCAGCGACCCTCTCTACCTGCCGATCCTGCAGGGCATCTTCGCGATGGGAAGCAGCGCGGTGCACCTCTGCACCCAGGGCGTGGCGACTTGCTGTCGCACGACCGCTTGGCCAGGGCGCAACGTGGTGCACTCGGACACGTTGCGCGTGCTGGGGGCGGCCGGGCCTGGAGGCGGTGCCGCTGATGGCGCTGGAGCCACCCCGCCTGGCGCCCTCCCTGCAGGCGGTGCGCCGCCCGCCGCTGACGCTGGACCCGTGGTGCCGGGCAAGAACGCAGGTGGAGCTCCCAAGGGCTCAGGCGGTGCCGACGGTGAGGACGTGGATGGCAGGGCGGCCGAGGAGATGAGGAAGATCGTCAAGAGGCTGAGGGAGAAGCTTCAGAGGAAGCGCTCCATGGGCGAGGCGCTGGCCGAGCGCGCCGAGGCTGCGCTGGAGGGCCGCCGCAGCCGCAAGAAGCAGAAGAACAGGGACAAGGATAGCTCCGACAGTGCGAGTTTTGATGAGGCCCCGACCGCTGGTTCCGGCCGCCGAGTGCAGAAGCTGGCCCGCTCCGACCCCGGGGCGCTCATGGCGGCGGGTCTGAAGCAGATCCGAGAGTACTTGGCGCAGCGGGGCGGGGCCGGCAACGATGATGAGCTGGATAGGATGGCGTCCAACGTGGTGCAGTATATCACGAGCGTGTGGCACGGCATGCACCCTCAGAACGAGATGGGGGTGCGGAATGTGCGCGAGATGAGGATGATCGGGGAGTGCCTGGACGCCCTCACGAGGGGCGATCTGCCGCAGCTGGGCGACATGCTCATGCAGAGGCTGAAGGCCATCGAGCAGGCCACCAAGGACGGGCACTGGAAGATAGCCGAGCACCTCGAGCTGATCGACTCCACCGACATCGGGCTGGCCAGCAGCGCCGAGGTGTCGGCGGCCGTGGCATCCTACTCGGAGGGTGCGAAGTTGAAGGAGCGCCTCACTCGAGCGGGCGCGAGGAGGCCCCCCTAGGGATTCGGCGAGGGAGAGGGCGGGCGCACCAGGACGCCCTCTCCCGCGACGCCGCCCCCACAGACATCGAGTCCTGGAGCACAGGGGGAGAAGGATGCGCCGACGCCCGGATCGAGGAAGGACAGGTGGAGGGCGAAGCTCTGGCGTGGACGCGGCCGAGGGCGAGGTCGCGGTCGAGGGGGCGCTGGCGAGGCAGTGAAGAGAGCGTCGCCGAGCCCGGCAGCCGGGACAGGTGCTGGCGAGAGATCGGGGAGCCCGAGAAGCCCGTCGCCCCATTGGCGGCCAGCACCTGGCTCGATCAGCCCTGGAGTGGATCGCAAGCCGGCCCTTCGGAGACCCTCGAGCCCTGTTCGTCGCGTGAGGTTCGCGGACGACGTGACCGCGGAGGCGAAGGCTGGCAACAAGGGCAAGCCGAAGGGCGACAAAGGGCAGCACCGCGGGACGCCACCTTGGCGCTCGTGGAACCCGAAGGGCAAGGGCGGCACGAAGGGTCAGGCCCGTGGCAAGGGCAAGGGCAAGGGCCAGGGCAAGAGGTCCAACAAGAATCGGAAGTAGAATGCATGAGCTTCGAGGGCACTCGAGAGGCGTGTGACTGCACGTCCGACGGCAGCTGGGAGTCCGAGATCACCTTCTCCTCGTACCTTGAGGATGAGTGCAACGGCGCCGCTCATGGCGCAGTCTCGGACGTGCCGTCCACGCGAATTCACGACTTTCCTTACTTGAACCCGACGCGTGCCGCCAGTGAGCTGGGCAGTCTCTGTGGAGCTCCAGTTCGTGTTGTGGGACGCCGTCTAGCTGACCTCAGTACTTCTTCGCCCGCGTCGAGCGGGGCACTTGGCAATTTTGATGCGAAATCGTACGATGATATCCTCTCACCACTGACCGCAGGGAACGGACGGCGTGACCTGCTGCCGTTGCCCTGCGTCGATCTGACGATCGAGGAGTTGAGCATGAACGGCGTGGTGTTCGGCGAATCGGAGCCAGTCGATCCCTCCTTCGAGGACGACCTGAACGGCTGGCTGAAGCTCACTGTCCTGAGCCTGAACTTCCAGTACGCGCTGGGGGGCAAGCATCCTGGTCTCAAGATGGCCCCCTGGAAGGTAAGGCACGGGCCCGCCAGCGCGGTGCAGCTGAAGGCCCTGAGGTTGCTGGCCAGGAGTGTGGGCACGTTCCTATGCCAGTACGAGGGCTCCGTGGCGAACCTCGACTGGACCCAGGAGCTGAAGTCGTCGGCAGTGAGCTACACGGGCATGGAGGTGTACCCAGCCGAGCAGCTAGACCGCGAGCGCCTCTTGCTCGCCCTGCCGTCGAAGGAGGCTTGCGGCTCGGTATTGGCGACCGAGGTGAGCGAAGGCTGGATCAGGAGCGCGCTGGAGCACCCGGAGTGGGTGATGAAGAGCCCCGCGGAGCTGGGCGAGATGCCCAAGACCCCGCGCGTCTGGGCCGAGGATGACGAGTGGGAGCTCATCGCGGCCGAGCTCGTGAACAGGGGCATCCTCGTCCCGATCGAGGCCGACGAGATCGTGAAGGTCAAGGGCCGTCGCGTGCTGGGCGGCCTCTTTGGTGCACGAAAGTCGGGGCACGTCAAAGGCTCGGGGCCGCAGCGGCTAGTGATGAACATCATCCCGAGCAACTGGTTGCAGGAGACGGTCCAGGGGGACATGGGTCTCCTCCCGACGACAGACAAGTGGAAGAGCATCATCCTGAGGAGCGGCGAGGTGATGATGAGCTCGTCGGAGGACCTCAAGTGCTGCTTCTACGTGTACCGGTTGCCCGCGGTGTGGCACAAGTACATGGCGCTCTCCAAGAAGGTGAGCAGGTCCTGCCTCGGTCTTGACGGGACCGGCGAGGTGCACGTGGCCGCGGCCGTGATCCCAATGGGCTGGGTGTCGGCGACAGGCATCATCCAGCACATCCACCGGTGGCTGCTTCGTGAGTGGCTGGAGGGAGTGCCTCCGCTGCCTGAGGACCGTGAATTGCGGCGCGACCTTCCTCTGCCTCCACATCGTGAGAGAGGCTCGGTGGTCTCTCAGGGCGAGGCGAGGCTGCCGGTGCGAGGCGAGCTGGGCCGATCCTACAGCGACGAGCGCCCACAGGTGTACATCGGTCGCACAGGGCAGCGGTATGGCTTCTCCCCATCCAAGTGGGCGAACCCCTTCAAGGTGTCAAAGATGATGCCGAGGAGCGAGGCCATCGCGAATTACGAGAGCCACCTGCGCGACTCGCCCGATCTGCTGGCCTGCTTTTTATTCTTTTTTTACTTCTTTTCTTTGCTCTTTTTTTTTTCTTTTTTTATCTATTGTTATTTTTTTTTTTTTTTTTTTGTTTTTTTTTTTTTTTTTTTTGTTTTTTTTATTGTTGTTTTTTTTTTACTCTTCTTATTTTTTGTCTTTTTTTTTTCTTTTTTTTTTTTTTTTTTGTTTTTTTTTGTTTTTTTTTTTTTTTTTTTTTTGTTTTTTTTTTTTTTCTTTTTTTTTGTTTTTTTTTTTTTTTTATTTTTTTTTTTTTTTTTTTTTTTTTTATTTTATATTTTTTTTTTTCTTTTTTTGTTTTGTATTTTTTTTTTTTTTTTTTTGTTTATATTTTTTTATTTTTTTCTTTTTTTTTTTTGTTCTTTTTTTTTTTATTTTTTTTTTTTGGCCCGAGCTCTCGGGCTGTCGCCTCCTGTGCCACTGCAGGCGAGGGCAGCGCTGCCACGGGGACGTGCTGGTCAAGATGTGGGCGGAGACGGTGCCGAAGGCGACGAGAGGAGATGACGCGCTCATACCGGAGGGTGCTGGTACGGCCTGCTGGGTGGTGTGGCAGGTGTACATCGACAACCTTGACGTGCTGGAGGTTACCGACGAGGTCTCCGCGGCGGCGCTGAAGGCACAGGGCCCCCCGAGGTGGTGCAGCTGGCTTGCGAGAGGTACGCGCAGCGGGGGGTGCCCAGGAGCGAGGATAAGGCAGTGTGCCGTGAGCCTGTCAGTCAAGTTTTGGGTGAGCTCATTGACGGCACGAGGGGCGTGATCAGCCCGCCCCTGGAGTTCGTGTACCGTCTGCTGGGCCTCACCTTCGCCACGCTGGATCGGAATGTGCTGACTCAGACTTGGCTGCAGGTGGTGGCGGGCCGCTGGGTGCGAGCGATGATGTTCAGGCGTGAGACGATGTCCGTGTTCGACGACCTGTGGCGTGCCGTGGTGCGCTGGAGAGGCGAGCGCAGGCTGCCCGCTCCCGTTCAGAGGGAGCTGCTGCTGGCCGTGGGGCTCCTGCCGCTCATGAGGTGCGACCTCAGGGCGCCCGTGAGCGGGCTCGTGACCGTGTCCGACGCCAGCATGCGCAAGGGGGCGGTATGCCGGGCTGTGCGCCTGCTCCCACACGGCGTTGAGGCAGCCAAGGCTTCTCGCAGGCGCCAGGTGGGGCGGCTGCAGGACGAGGGCGTGCTGCTGTCGCTCTTCGACGGGATCGGAGGTGGAAGACGGGCCCTCGACATGCTGGGGCTGAGCGTGGCCGTGTATGCTGCGTCGGAGACGGACCCAGAGGCCTGCCGCGCGGTGAAGTACGCGTGGCCGGACGTGGTGGAGCTGGGCGACGTCGCGAAGCTGAGCGCGCAGGACATCGCCAAGATCCGAGACAGGGCCCCTCATGTGCGCTGGGTCCTCCTGTTTGCTGGAGCTCCCTGCGTGGACCTCACCAGGCTGAGCGTAGACAGGCGAGGGCTGTCAGGAGCGAGGTCGGGCCTTTTCTACGAGATCAAGCGGGTGAAGTCGCTGGTGAAGGAGGTGTTCCCCGTGGAGGTCGAGGTTTTCGACTTGATCGAGAATGTGTCCTCCATGACGGCCGAGGATCGCGACACGATGTCAGAGCACATGGGGCTGGCCCCGGTGATGATCGATGCCGCCGACATCTCACACGTTCGCCGAGAGAGGCTCTACTGGTGTGACACCGACCTCATGACGCCGTGGCAGGGCGAAGTCTGTGTGAAAAGTGAGGTGGTGAAAGTGACGATCCCTGGAGGTCCAGGCCCGCTGGGCCGCTGGCTGCGCCCTGGGCGAGAGTGGTCAGGAGCCGAGGTTCCTGAGCAGCGTCTGCCCACCTTCGTGAGGTGCATCCCGCGCGGGCGTGCCGGCGACAAGCCGAAGGGCCTGCACCAGTGCAGCGAGGCCGAGCTGGAGCGTTGGCGGAGGCACGACTTCTGCTATGCGCCGTACCAGTTTCGAGATCCTCACTGTCTGCGATGGCAAGGAGGTGCGCTGGAGCCTGCGGATTCCTTTGAGAGAGAGATGTTGATGGACTTCCCACCTGGGCACACGGCGACAGCGCGGGCCACACGGTTCCGCAAGCTGGCTGAGCTCGAGGTGGTACGATGCGCCCTGCTGGGCAACTCGTTCCAGTGCGGCGTGGTGGCATGGATAGTGGCGCACTGGGCTCACCGACACGGCTACCTGGACTCGGTCCCCACGATGGCGGAGGCGCGCGCGGTCGGAGGCGCCTTCGACGCTGCCGAGGGCCTGGTGCAGGTAGCCAAGGAGGGCGACGACAGCGGGGTGGTGATCAGGGACCGTGGCCTTGAAGAGGCCGAGGCGCAGGCGGACCCGAGCATCCAGATCGTGGAGGAGCTGATCCGGCGAGCTGAGGTGAGGGGCTCGGACGTGCGCCTCGACACGCTGGAGGTCATGCGCCCTGACTTGTGGCCACGCCGCCCGATCAGCGTGAGCCGCTGGACGTGGAAGACAGTGCTGGTCTGGAAGTGGAGGTGGAAGAGCCACATCACGGCGCTGGAAGTGCTGAGCACGCTGGCAGGCCTTCGCTGGCGCTTCAGAGTGGGCCATCACCTTGGCACGAGGTTCGCTCATCTGATGGATTCGCAGGTTGGACTTGGTGTGATATCGCGGGGGCGCTCCTCCTCGCATCTGCTCAACGCAGCCGTCAAGAGGATCTCAGCTCTGGTCCTGGCGGCGTCGGCAAGACCGATCTACGGGTACACCGAGACCGACAAGAACCCAGCCGACGACCCTTCGAGGGAAGGCGGCACGTCAGGTGACAGCAATGCCAAGGAAGCGTCGCATTGACTATGAGATAGACTTGGTGTCCCGCATTCGGGTGCGACGCGCGATTGGCAGATTATCACACACACTAGTTCAACCTCGTACGTTTCGCAGATATGGTCAGATGGTGCAAAGCTTTGTCTCTTGGATTCGTGCCCATGGTATCGACGTGGCCACTGACCTGGAGCAGCTCGACTTCCAATTATGTGAATGTATAGAGACGCTATGGGCGCATGGGAGGCCTGCTGGAGATGCTGGGGCCACCTTGTCTGGCGTTCAGTTTTTCTTGCGACGCAAGAGAGTCTTTCACAGTGCGTGGAACCTGCTGAAGGCTTGGCAACGGACTGAGATACCACAAAGAGCACCACCCATGCCAGAATATGTGCTGATGTCACTTGCCACGGTGGCTCGATCCTGGAGTCGAAATGACATAGCGGTGCTGCTTGTGATTGGCTGCTCCGTATTCTTGCGTACAATGGAGCTTCTTACTTTCCGTAAGTGGCAGCTGCAGTTCAGCAACGACGGCCTCAGCCTTGTCATAGCCCTGCCAGTGACCAAGGCAGGCAAAAGACGACACTGTGAGGAGTCCGTCACACTCCACGACGCCAGGATTGTTCACTTCATCAAAGTGCTCACTCAGCATTTGCCGCCTGAGAGCTCGTTGCTGCAGGGCACCGTGCCCGAATTTCGTGATGTGTTCAAAGCTCTCTTGAGGTCATTGAACCTCGAGCGGCACGGTTATCATATATATTCTTTACGCCGTGGAGGTGCCACCACTCATTACAGAAGGTTCGAGAACATGGGCTTGACTTTGATAGTGGGGAGATGGCAAGACACAGCTGTGGCCAGACTGTACATCAGTGACGGTGTGCAAACTTTGCTGCAGAACGATTTCTTGCCTGCAGAATTGGAACGATTTCGTGTACTGGCGAGCGCTCTTAACTTTGATGTGGGTTGAGATGAAAAGAAGGAGCAAAATATCTGAGCAGCTTCGCTGTCAGCATTTTCCTGACCCTCCCACCCGTCCCTGGGGATTAATGGCGGTTAACCAGAAAGGGGTGCATGGAAAGGGGTCCCGGGGGGGGTTCGGACTCGCGTCGAGCGCTGCCGCCCTCACCCGAGGGGGTTCGGACTCGCGTCGCGCTGCCGCTCCCGGTCAACTCCGAGGGGTCGGACTCGCGTCGCGCTGCCGCCCCTGGCCAGGCTTCGGAGTCCCCGGAGGACATGGGGGGGGTCTCCGCTGGCAGCCCCCCTGTAGCACAAAACCTCTGGTGAGAGGAGTAAAAAGGAGAGAGACGGGGAAAGGGGACACAGAGATAAATATCCTTGAGATTCTCATGGGTTTTATCTCGTCCCCCCTCCGTCCTCGAAACGATCTCCTCTAAACCGCCTCTCCGTAGCCGCCTCGGCCCCGCCCTGTAACCCTGCCCAAGCCGAGTTGGCTAAAAGATGTGCCGATTGCGAGCCATCTGAGGATGTGCTGACGCCATCCCAGCAGGAGTGCCGGGGAAAGGGGTCCCGGGGGGGGTTCGGACTCGCGTCGAGCGCTGCCGCCCTCACCCGAGGGGGTTCGGACTCGCGTCGCGCTGCCGCTCCCGGTCAACTCCGAGGGGTCGGACTCGCGTCGCGCTGCCGCCCCTGGCCAGGCTTCGGAGTCCCCGGAGGACATGGGGGGGGTCTCCGCTGGCAGCCCCCCTGTAGCACAAAACCTCTGGTGAGAGGAGTAAAAAGGAGAGAGACGGGGAAAGGGGACACATATATATATATATATATATATATATATATATATATATATATACAGGCCCGCCGTCCCGAAACATGTGCCCCCATTGGGAATCTGGGAAGCTCGGGGGGTTTTGCCGAGGCGCCGGGGGCCCCGTTAAGTTCGCCCGAAGACGGCCCCCGGATCGCCAAACATGGCGCTTCCAGATTGCGGGAACGACCAATGACGGCTAAGACGGCCAAGGCGGCCAGAATTAGCCCCTGATTATCCGAGAGTCCTTCAAGACGCCCCCAGAAACCTCCTAGATGCCTCCAAAGGAGTCCCGCGAGGCACAACTTGTTAATGATTATCCAAAGGTTTTTGAAGGCTTTTCAAGTTCTCGCCTTTTCAGTGTTCTGGCGCTCCACGACGACCCAAGATGTCATATTGTCCGCTCCAAGACAGCCCCAGGGGCCTCGATGACGGCCCCAAGACGGCCCAAGGGGGCCCCGAGGCGGCGTCAGAGGCGCACAGGACGGCCGAAAAGGGCCCTATGGAGCTCCTCCGAAGGTCCCAGTGGCGCAGCCCGCATGCGTCCGCCACACCCAGTACAGCGCTTTGTGGCCCCATGGGGAGCTCCACCGAAGGCCCCAGTGGCGCAGCCCGCGTGCGTCTCCCACACCCAGTGCACCGATCGTGGCCCCGTAGGGAGCTCCACCGAAGGTTCCACTGGCGCAGCCCGCATGAGTCCCTCCCACCCAATACAGCCCTTCGTGGCCCCATGGGGAGCTCCACCGACGGTCTCAATTGCGCAACCCGCATGCGTCTCACCCACCGAGTACTGCGCTTCGTGGCCCTATAGGGAGCTCCGACGAAGGTCCCAGTGGCGCACCCCGCATGCGTCTCCCCCGCCAGTGTAGCGTTTCGTGGCCCCATAGGGAGCTCCACCGAAGGTTCCAGTGGAACAGTCCGCATGCGTCTCCCCCACCCAGTACATTGCTTCGTGGCCCTACAAGGGGGGCTCCACCGAACGTTCTAGTGGCGCAGTCCGCATGCGTCGCCCCCCGAAGAAGATGCTTACAATTGCGGTATTCACAACTGCATATGTTTGGGTCCTTCGCCAGGCTAATTAAACGTGCTTTTGCTTATTTTTGCACAATCAGACCATCATTCAGGCCCCCGTCACCACCGAAGAAAGATCCCAGGAAGCCTTCGATGGGGCCCAAATCATCGAGCACCGAAAGGAAGTTGATGATGTTGTGGTTTCCGCATTTCCCCTTCTATACGCTTCCGAGGCTTGCGCAGGGACACCAAGAAGGTCGTTAGATGCGCAAGGCGCTTGAACAATCGAGATTCCATGCGTTAGCCTGTCGAGCCTAGCTAGAATTTGAGCGCGCGCGAAGCGCGCGCGATGGTTCTAGTGTATATGTCCGTATACTGGTTCCCTGTATGCGTATACCCGTCTTCCCCCCTTTGGCCAGGACACGCCGCCCCAACACGTCCGTAGCCTGTTTGGGCTTTAGGATCCATGCATTCTTCGGGGTCACGGCCACGAGTGTCTCGGTGGCCGCGAGGCCTGCTGCGAGGCCCGCCATCCGCCCTCCTCGCGCTCCTGGCGGCAGCACTGGGAGGGGGCGGTCGCTGGCCTGACTCGCGGCAGGCGCGAGGCTGGGTGGCCCAGGCGGATTTCGAGGACCTCGACGGTGGAGACGAGGACCTCTGGGAGGCGCTGGAGGCCGTCGTGCCCGCGCCCGAGGTGGACGGGCCCGTGCCGATCGACCCGTTGGCGGTGGCCCAGGGCGAATGCTACTGAAGCACGGGCAGCACAGCAGGCGGCCTTGAGCAGTGCCGGTTCGCGTGGCGGGCGCTGCGGGTTCTCCAGCGCAGTGCCGCCGCGGCGCTTCGCGAAGGCCGAGTTCCTTGTCCGCGACGACGGCTACTGGGACTGGTGGGCCAGCCAGCCTGGGCAGCCGAGCGCGTTGACAGAACGCCCGCTCATCCACGTGTGCTCGGGGAACCCGTGCGCAGTCGTGGAGGGGCCGGGGACGTGCGCCGAGCTGGTCCACGTGGCGGACGGGGAGGAGCTCGGCCTCACGGACCTGCGGGCGCTGTCCGTCGGGTGCCAGGAGGCGCGCCCGGAGGCGGCTTGGCCAGGAGCATGCCTCGGGCCGCTGGTCGCCGCCGCCGCCCCCGCGAGGCCTGCTGCGGTGGCCAAAGCGACGGGTCGCCCGCCCGCCGCAGCAGGTCCTCCCAGGGCCCCGCCTGGCGCTGCCCCCTTCGACGACTTGCGAAGCATAGGTGGCTCGTCGCGCGGCCCTGGCTCAGAGCTGGCCGCAGACGAGGAGGCAGCTGCCGCGGGCGGCCTGGGGCCAAGCTCGCAGGGGCTCGTGTGCGCCTCGAGGAAGGGAAGCGGGCTGCTGAGGACGTCAGCTTGAGCGGTTCCCCCTCGGCGCAGAGGCGGCTGGCAAGGAGCCTGTGAAGAAGCGGTCGCTCGGGGACCTGCTGGTCGAGCGCGCCGCGAAGCTCACGAGGGCCGTCTCGGACGCGGGCCCCCGAGGGTCAGGGGGCCCCGTGCCCGAGCGGGCGCCGCCAGGAGCTGGTCTGAGCGGCGGCGCGGCGGAGCTAGCGCAGGCGGTCGTGAAGGCCATCCGCGAGGGCAAGGAGGCCCCCCCTGGCGGCAGCGGCGGGGGCGGCCTCGGCTCCCTGGACCCCGCGGCGGTGCCGCGTGACCTGGCCACGAGGAGGGCCTTCTGTCGTCGGATGGCCGCCGCCTCCACGGGCCGCCTCACGGAGCTGAGCCTGCAGCAGATGGCGGACTTCCTGGACTCGCAGGAGGGGGGAGGCGGCCGTCGACGCGGCGGGCCCGATCGCGCTGCGGTACCTCCTCACGATCTACCTGCCGCAGCATCCGGTGAAGGAGGTCGGCGTGCAGACGTACCGTGTGCCCCGCACCCTCGCGGAGGCGGTGGACCTGCTGATGCAGGGGAAGGTGGCCCACGCCTGCGACCTGATCGTCCAGCGCCTAAAGGCGCTGCAGGTGGCAACGACGGACGGCTCGTGGGCGGCGGCGAGGTGGTTGGTACTGATCCCGCCGCGCAACGATCCCACGGCCATCTGCAGCGAGGAGGAGGAGCTCATCCGCAGCATCCAGCTCGGCGGGATGAGGTTGGACGAGCTCTCCGCGCGCCTGGCCTCCGCCAAGACGCCGGGATGGGGCGGAGGCCCGACGGGGGCGCGCCCGCCGCTGGCGCCTCCGTCTGTTGGCCAGGGGTCGGCAGCCCCACCGCCGTGGAAGATGTCCTTCGCGGAGATGCGGAAGGAATTCCCGAAGCAGCCAGTGGAGACGAACACCCTGCACCGCCTGCGAGCCTTCAAAGCTCGCGCGGCGGCGCGCCCCCGTCGGACCTGAGCGGCGGCAGCCTGCCGCCTGCCCCGCGCTATGGTGGAGCCTCCTCAGGGAGGGTGGCCGATGCCTCCATCAAAGGCGCGAGCCCTGCGAGGGGTGCTGGTGGGGGAGTCCGCGGCGGAGGCCAAACTCGGTTTACCGAGAGCGGAGATCGTGCCACCCTGTGCGAGGGGGGTGAGGGCGTCGCGGAGCCCCCGCTGGCCACCGCGCTGCAGTGCTGGGCCGACGAGCTCTCCCTCGGCTTTGGCAAGAGCATCGTCGCGGTCGACCTGGCGGCGCAGCTGGCAGCAGCAGTACGACGCCACCCAGGCAGCCTTGGCCACTTCGCTCGGTCGTTCAGCATGCGTGCGGACACATTTTGTGGGAGCGGAGGGTCGTCGAACAGGAGGGTTCGGGACGCCCTGCCGCTTCCCCTTCCGTCGACCGAGGAGGTGGGCCGCTGGCTGGCCCACAGTGCCTTGCCCAAGGCACGCAGGTGCCGCCGCCGCGCCGGGGCGCGGGAGGTCAGCGAGCAGGCGTGGCTGCACCTCAGCGTGGTGGCGCTCAACTATGCGTTCTGCGGCCGCTCGCAGGAAGGCTGGCGCCACAGGCTGACCCTGTCGAAGGCGCAGACGCGGGTCTACGTGCATTTGAAGAGCCGAGCGGCGGCCTTGGCGGAGGACCCGCTCGCCATGGTCGTGGTCCCTGCGATCGACGAGCTGGCGGGCGGCTGCGAGTCAGCGTACGAGGGCGAGACAGGCGTGAAGGCCCTCCCCTGCCGGCTCTGCGAGCTGGCCCCTGGCCTGCCCACGCGGGAGTGCGCTGCCACGCTCGACGCGACCGACTTCGTTGGCGCCGAGGTCGGCGCCGG